GGGGGGGGGGGGGGGGGGAGAGAAGGACCGCACTTTGCAGTTGCGGTCTCTTATACACATCTAGATGTGTATAAGAGACAGCCTCATCGCAATTCATACACTCACGCTCCCATTTGATTGTTCTTTTTCTTGAAGCCCCACATAGGGAAAACTGCCTAACAAACTAAAGCATACCTTACCTCTCAAGCACAGAAGCCCGCTCCTTGGGACTGGGCCACAGGAGACATGACATGCCAAGCCAGAGCTGTCCACGGTGACAAATGTTGTTGATCCTCAAAGTCGTAGGCTCGTTGCCCCATTACCAAGCGAGGTGTTCACGGCGACGGTGACGAATGCTGATCCTCAAAGTCGTAGGCTCATTGCCCCACCCTTGGCTCCCACAGCATGATGCAGCACGAAATCGCGAATGCGCTTCTTAAGCCTCAAAACACTGCTGGAGTCAACCTTGCCCCCCTCATTTGACCACTCATCGGACGTTGCTAGCCACTCGTTCAAGCGACAAAGGATAGAGAATACGTCAGCAAGCCGGCTCCCATTCCGCCTGTCCCGTAGTCCTGTGCAAGGCTGTGTTCTCCCTAGAGTCACGCCATCCACGCCACCCCTTCTGCCTCTTTCCGCTCGTTCAGGTGTTGAGGGGCTTCTTTCTCCCTCGTCAAGCGCGGCTTCCACACGGGAGAAGAACCACTCCTGGGCATCCCTTTGTAACTCGAGTGCACATTCTACAGTCTCCACGCAACCTTTCCCTGCCACCCAGCCAAGTGCTGAATTGCCCTCAGCCTCCCACTCCCATGGAGCCTTCGCATCATCTTGCTCCTTGTCATCCCCATCGATTGCATGTTCATGGCCGGCCCCTTTGCTCTCCCATCCTCTCGCGCTGCTGTCCTCCCCACCCCCACCCATCCTGAACACATGATGTGGCGATCCACCACTCGTACTTGATGCCTGAACGCATTCCTTCATACCCCCGTTCATTCGCACACGAACTGTCTCATCAAGACCATCAGTCGGGCTGTCCCGGTGAACCGCCAGTCTCTCTTTCTCTGGCGTGAGAGAAATGCGAGGCGACTGCATGGGAGTGCTGCAGGGAGACGCCATCGTCCCACTTCCCACACCTTCGTTGCTCATAATCCTTCCACCCGCTCTCCTGTCCCCTCCCCCACCCTTGCTTCCTCCCATGGAAGATATAGAACTCCGCGAAGACGACTTTGGCGTTCTCGCAGGCGCCAAGGTAGTCGTCACAGCGCCCGAACATCGCCTTGACAACGGCTCAAGGAGTGTCGTAAGTTCCTGCAGCGGACGGCCTTTGGGATCCCTCCTTCCTCCAAAGGAATTCCGCCTCCCAGACCCCTCCTTATCGCCCCCCTCCTGTTCAGAGAACAGTTGGGGGCCGGACACCAGCACACATGGGGCCATGGACTTGACCTTCCGGTCCGCACTAGGGGTGAACACTTTGGTGGACGCCATGTTCCCGCTCTGCCGTCGTCCTTGCTTGTCGGGATCGCCGAGTGTTGAAAAATTCATTCCGGGAAGAGGGTTCAGGTCGGACGCAAGGGCGGCAGTGACCCATGCCGCGGCCTTACGGTTCCTTTCAGATGCCCTAACCATGTTGGTGTTAGGATTAGCAGCCACATTACCTGAGGGCTGGCCTCGCGGAGACAGCGACATGGAGAACGGCAAGCGAGAAGGGCTCGTTAGACCCTTGTCTCCCATTTTTGGCGTGGATGGGAAGTTTGACTGCAGCGTGCTAGCAGTTGCCAGGGCCATAGCCGACACATGGACCAGTTCCTGATGAAGACGAAGGAAATCTTCCACTCCATGCTGTAATGGCTCCAAAGACGCAGAAGAGCGAAGTCCTGCATACTTCCTGCGTCATTCACACAAATCAACCAGACAAAAAAAAAAAAAAAAAAAAGAGAAGAAAAGAAAACAAGGGAGATTTAATGAAGCCGCAAACCCACACAAAATGTAGAGAACGATAAAAAAAAAAAAAAAAAAAAAAAAAAAAAAAAAA